TTATCTTATTAGATTTCTTAAAACAATGTACTGAGCAAGAAAATTAATCTTAAGAAAAATAAAATACTTTCAAGAAATTTATCTTGAAACTAGATTAAATGCAGAAGAAAATCTTTGTAGCTTCGACAAGGTTTTTTTCTAAGCTTGAAAAATCAGTAGAAAGAAAAATAATCTTTAAGCAAGATACTTTTTTATTTATTATATAACCGATTGAAGATTTTTCACAGGGAGAAATGCTCTTCAAAACAAATTTTACATGTGCTAATAGCTTGTTCAAGTAGAATTTTAGCCCCCAAAATATTTAGGCCTTTAGTACCAATTTGAAAATAAAAGTTTATGAAGAACAGGGAGGGTTTTATACAATGAATACCAATATTTCAAAAAAGATAAATACATTGTATAACAGTAAAAATAGATATATACACAAATACAGGTAAGGGCATGCATAATAAGCCATAAAGTTTGAAGCAAAAATAATACTAACAAAACTGGTACTAAAGTCTATATTTTGTCCAAAAACTATGACCAGCCGACAATTTAAAGATACAATATAAAACAAATTCCGAAAACGCTCAATTCCTGGCGACTCTACAAAACCAGTTCTCACAACTCAATGATCTCCCTCCACCTCCCAGAACTCTCCTATAGAAACCTTGTATTCAACAACTATAAAATACAGTTAGCACTATTTTCCACCCAGCAAACCGCCCTTTACTTTGAAATATAATATTTTACACAATATAATATTTTACACAATCTAATATTTTACACAATATAATATTTTATATAATATTTTACACAATCGTCGAAAAACGACATATTTTTCCAGCCTGGATTATAAGTTTATAACTTAAGGTGGTTGCATGAAAATTTAAACTGTAACATTTATCTGTAAATATTTTCATATGTTGATATTAAAACTGTATTATAAAATATAAAATTACTCGCCATCTCAAAACGACCTAGCACCAGTGCATGCATGGTTTCCTTTTAGCTTTGGTTCTTTCCCATTAGCCGCCATCTTAAATTTATTTCCGATTGTGTAAAGTAAAGGGCGGTTTGCTGGGTGGAAAATAGTGCTAACCATAAAATACTTCACTCAAACAAATCTAGCAACTACCCCATTCTTGCTTTTCTTGAAGCACTACTCATCAAACATAACAAGCCTTTTCTCAACACGGGACTTAAGGCTAGCAAAGAATTACACTCTTTTCTTAACTTATAACACACTCATTCTACCAGTCGGGTCGGCAGTTTCAATTCATCCTTTTGAAATACTACACCTCTTCCAACTCTGTCTTTGTAAATATCACACTATTTAATTTCTACTGCTTATTTCCGTTTACTTATTTCCTGCGTTGTAAATATATATGTGTATGTTGTAACATCTTGATATTAGCCAATGGAATATAGCTACGACAAAAGGGGGAAATCTACCATGTATCTACGTCATTCATGCCGTTTTTTGTGATTGGACGACTGAAGGAAAGTCTATAGAAGTAAGGGTTGACCTTTAAATTATATTTATCCAATCGTTATTTTTGATTATAATATTTCCAACTATCGTGGATTTTCACAGAAAGATTTAAAACTGTCAAAATGGCTCACACCTATTGAAAAGCAAAAATTTTAATTTTTGGTGAGAAAAAACTTCACATTGTTTTTATCTTTTCAGTTGTTACGTGGACTTTTACGGAAACTTCTTATCGAATGCAACCGTCTTGATGCTAAATCTGTAGCAATGCCGTTTTTGGGAACTGGGAAACATAATTTTCCCAAAATTATTGTTTTACGTATAATGAAAGAAGAGTTCGAAAGATTTAGTTCTAGATTTCAACAAAGTTCACTGAAACAAATCAAATTGGTGATATATGATCCGGTTGAGAGAAGGCAAAGGAACTTGACCGGTATGTTGAACTTAGATTTTAAAATTTATCAAAATATTCTTTTTCACAATGTAATCAATATTTTTTAGAGCAGTTATAATTTTTTCAATATTTAGACGCTATTTCATCCAATGAAACCGGACGCTTTGTTCCTTTTTCGTTTGGCTGTGGCGAAGAATCCATAACACTTCAGATTTTTGGCCTTTCCGATGGAGAAATCTCGTCTGCTTTACAAAAAATTCACAAGTTTATCAATCAAAATATTATAACGAAGAAATTACGTAGTGAAAATCTTTACGATGTCATCCTAAAAAACAAGCATGAAGTAAAACAGATTGCAACTGATGCTCGCTTAAGAATGAAATGTGAGGATGAACAGACGATTTCTTTAACAGGTTTGCACAGCAAAGTTAATCAAACAAGCATAATTCTCAAAGAGCTCATTAACGAGTTTACTGAAGAAGAGAAAAGACTTCAACAACTGAAATACTTGTCAGAAAATGTTCAATGGAATTTCTATGATGTACATAATAATGTTATTATTTACAATAAAGAGTTGAGCAGTATACTTGAAATTGCTCAGATGAATGGTGAACAAACTACAGAGTTTACAGAATAAGTAGGACAAGTTTTCAATGTCGATTTCGCACAAATGAAAGCTATCAATAGAAGAACGGGTGAAAAAAAACATTGTTGAGGAAGATGATCGCGGGTTTGTATAGTATATTATATTGTATTTTTAAATGTTTTTTACGATTTATGATGTTTTAATGCAGAATTTTAGAATTATGGGAACAGGTAAGAAAACTTTAACTCGATGCAGAGCATTAATTGGGGGAGGGGGGGTGGGGTGCATATTCATATATGCCTTTGTGCCATATGATTTCTCTTGAAAATGAATTTATTTTCAAAAGAAATCAGTAGGGCACAACTGAATATATGTATATACACACCTCCCCCCAATTAACGTTCTAGTTACACCTCTGATACAATGGCTAGTTTTTATTCATGTTTCCTTTCAGACGATTTTTTCCGACAGTATTAAGTGTTTTTTTCATTAATAAGTAATTTTCAAAGGCAGAAAAGGAATGGAGGAAAGGTGTTTTTATTGATAAATGAAAAACATATTATGTCTTTGAAGATTCATTTCTGAAGCAGTGTTTTCTTTAAACTAAGCTTGACATTATTATAAATATTTGGTCTAGATGTTTCACTTCCATCAAATTGGTCACCGCCACGTACACCAAATCAAATTGTACATCTTGCCAGAGTAATACAATCCTCTCCTGAATACATGGAGGTAAAAAATTATTTCGTAGCTCATGGAGGAAGAGCTGATCAAATCGACATGATTGAAAGGATACAGAACCCCGGTCTTTATTGTCTGTACCAGTCCTTCAAGAAGAAGATGCATGGTGCTGTAAATGAAATGCGTCTTTTTCACGGCACTAATCCAAACAATGTTCTACCAATATACACAAATAACTTCAGCCGTAGCTTTGCTGGATTAAATGGTGAGAGTTGAGATGGCTCCAGTTTCACAATGCGAATTTTTTCAAAGTTTCTGTGATGATAGATCCTTTTATAATTGTTAATATAGACATAAAAAAGTATTTTGGCATATTTTTCTGAGAAATGTGTTCAGTCTTTTCTATAAGTATATGCTACTAAGTTCAAACTAGATAATACGCTAGTAGATATTTATTCAGATTCTTTGGTTTCCACCACAATATGATTCCTACCTTACACATGGGTTCTATTTCTTACACGTGGGTTCTATTTACAGGAGTATTGTATGGAAACGGAGTGTGTTTTGCAAGAGATGCATCATATTCTCTCAGCTACTCCCTTGATCAGTGTTCTGGATCACGAGCAAAGATGTTCATCGCCAAAGTTCTTGTTGGAAGTTACACATTGGGTCAGAAAGGACTAAAGACACTGCCAACGAGAAATGATCCCAGTAACCCAGGTCTACTTTATGATTGTGTAGTGGATAATCAGGGAAACCCAACTATATTCGTCATTTTCCAAGATAACCAGTGCTATCCCGAGTATCTTATAACATTAAATAAACAATAGAGCAATTCAAGGGTGTAGCTAGAGAGGGAAATGGGGGACTTGTTTTCCTATTTATTCATAATATTATTTCACATTTATGCATAATGGGGAGTTTACAATGATTCCAATTTCAAAAAGCTTAAAAATAGTCATATAGCTTGCAAAGTTTGTCTGCCATATTAATATTTTTGTCTGTAATCAATAGAAAAACAATGTGTTTCTAAATAAATGAATAATATTTAATGTTCCTAAATTTACATAGCGCGATCAAAACTTGCAGACTGGTTACGCTACTCTAAATATTTGCTAAATATTTCCCTATAAAGTTAAGCGAAATTATGGGATGAACATCTTGACTAATTTTTCACATCGACATAGAAAAAGGCATTGCAGATAAGATTAAGTTGGATTCCATTGTCGGCATATTTGGATTAGCTAACTACGGGAAGTTGCCCTTGTAAAAATTATTTGCTCTCCTCAACTTAAATTGCCAACGTATAAACTGGAAAATGTGAGAAGTAGCGTTTTGGAGAACTCGTAAATGAGTAATTTTAGGAGGGAATGCCCCAAACGTTTCTCGTAAAACCTTGCGACGCCCCTTGAACAATCTCAAAAGCATTTAACATTAAATTACAAAGTAAAGCACAGTTTATACTTATTTACCATTGATCAATTGTACTCTGCACTTCATATATCCTGGGCTACTTAGGTCATTATGTATGTTTTTTTACTGTAATTTTTTCAGCACGTTTATAATTATAAGCACAAAAACTGTTGTAAATTTGCTTTATTATAGTTCTTGTTTTGATGGCATGTCGTAGAGATAGCTAGCTGTGCAAGACTTTTCTCTTTGAACTTTTCCACATGAAGTCAACTATATTCACTTGCAAGATAAATGACTATTATTCTATTAATGCTTAAAATTCGCATTCTTTCTGTCTTAAATCTAAATGTAATGTAAGAAACTAAATCACCAAGTTTGACAAAAAATGTAAATTTTATAATATGAACGGACTATGCTCACGTGTTGTTACAATCAATAAAACCACAGATGCT